CCGATCGCGGCGGTGCAACGCGTATAGGTTTTGCGGTTAATGTAATTCGGGATGTGCGTTATTGCAGAAGTTTCTTTGTATATTCAACGCCGAAATCAACTTAATCAATTATGTCGTAATTAACGAGATTCCCGATAGAGAGATAGAAAGAGAGAGAGCGCGAGCTCGTTAATGGCTTGCATTTGTGAGTGCTTTTGTGTATATGCGCCGAAGAGAATAGGTCGCTTGTTATTACAACACGGTCCCGGCGTGAAGTGTGTATCGACGAGCGAATTACATGCGTTTCCGCGTGTCGATCGCGCGCACGACGTTAATTAATAATGAGTGCGTCATAAAAATGCAGGTCGCCTCGCGTTTGCGCACGATTTATCGCCCGAAAGACCTTCAATTTCGCACGTGCGATTATCTAAGCATAACGTATTACATTATCGTTATATTTTGTGCGGAGAGCGCACGAAGCGAGAACGTCATGAATATTTGAAACGGAAACGTTGCTTTGTTTTTAATTTTAATTTCTAATTTAAACAATTTTATTTAATTAAAATTAAATTAAAACGTTACGTTTCTTTTCGTCGAGTTCAACGTGAGAAACATCGTCTTGTCTGTTGGAAAAAGTGTTGCGAGTGAAAGACACGATCCGCAATGATAATCTTAACCACGAAATCCCCGGTCATGTTTCTTCTCACAACGCCGGCAATCGATTCCTTCGGTCGTGGCCTCTACGCATTCGATCGCGAAGTCGATAGCTTTTTCTCTCCTCGCTCGTTTTTTTTTTTAGAGCCGTAAAGTGTATTGGAAAATAAAGTCTCTCGTTACGCACACCGTGATTTTTTCATCTCGACTCTGTGAATGCTTAATCTTTTGCGGTTTTTGATACCTTTTATCATTTCGTCGTTTCAAATTTAGATGCAATTTTGTTGATAAGCCTGTAACGAATTAATTCGCTTAAAAAAGCGGAAAGCTTACTGCGTCGATTCCTTCAACGTCAACTAATTTGAATCAGCTTTTTTTTTTATTTTTTTGTGTGGATTTTTTCTGTTTTTTTTGCACTGATAGTTTGCAAATTTATGCCTATTTTTATAATATTTTCTTATTATGGATTCTTCATTTATTTATTCAAATTTTCTCTCTCTCTCTTTCTCTCTCTCTCTTTCTCTCTCTCTCTCTCTCTCTCTCTCTGGCATCTCTTTTCTCTCTTAAACTTTCTGACACAAATTCAGCTCGACTTTCCCTATTCTGATATACGGCCGCGATTGAGAAAGCGCATCTCGACAGAGATGAGAAGGAATCACGGGCGGGCCGATAGAGCGGCAATAAGGTAATGCATAGGAAGAGATGGTAGGGAATAGGCGGCGAGAAACGATCGTGCGCGTCCTCGGTTCAATGTTGTAAACAACGCGTTGCGCGAGCGGGAGAGAACGTAACGGTCCCTCGGGATTGAGCAATCGTTTTCGTTCGTCTCCATTCGTTTATGGCGTGTATCTTGCGTATGCGCGCGCCATGGGAACGTAAAATCCTTGGAGCGTTAGAAACTTCCGGACAATTTCGACGGGCGCGGCACCGCTCAATTGAATTAAACGTTGCGCTCATTTTACACAACGCATTCGGGGAATGCGGGTTCTGCTAGTTCGCCGACGCGCGAATTTATTTCCGCAGTTCCGCAGGATTATCCGGCAGTCGCGCCGGCGGCTTCGAGCGCCGCCGATTCCCTCCGAAACGGACGCGATGTAATTCTTCTTCAGCTTTACGCTATCTAACATCGCGCGCGCGAACGGGAATTAAAACCAGCTTGAATGCTATTATTAAAATTCCGAAATAAATATTGCTTGTTTGTCTCGATATTTGATATTTTTTACGCGCGATGTGTTGTTTTTAACCATCAGCTTTGTTTTCTATTTTTTTTTTTTTTGGTATATTCAACCGTGGGTTTTTATCTCTGGTTTTTCTGTGTCGATGCTACATGCTGAAACATGGACGCGATTTGTTCTTTAATAACGCACGCTGGATGCGTCTGTCAGGCGCATACGCACGCCGCCCGCTCCTCCCTGCAACAGGATGCTTGCACCACCGCTAATTCAGTCGTGTGTATTAGAGCACATGAATAGAGATGATCATTTGATAGGACGCACACGCGAGATGATATCTCCATTATTCCGCGATAATGCGAGTAACGGGGATAGGCCGGCCGATTGTGGATTCCGTGTCAGGAAAAGTATGACTTTCAGCGCACCGACTGCGCGAATGCCTCTCTCCCGTTGCGATAATGATAAGTTGCGTATGTGTGTACAGAACAACGCGCGCTTGCCTGCTCGCTTGCGAACGTCGGCGTGACGACGATTCCCGTCGACACGTGAAGGAATCGGAATGCGAGCGCGGTGATTCGGCGCGATTTCCGTCCGTCCCGTCATCAAAAATTTGCTTCGCGCCTCCCGAGCGAGCGTGTGTCTCCGTTTCTTTTGCGTATCGCTGTCGGGAGAGGCACCATCGGGTTTCTGTTTGAAGTAGAGACTGCAATTTTTATCGTGACGTTGGCTCGGGTTCCGGCGGACTTATGATGCGCTGCCTCCATCTCGTTTCGTCCGTGGCTTTTAACGTGGATGAAGTAACGTTATAAAGCCGCGGAAATAAAATGCGTAATTCGCGGATGTAATACGTGAACCGTGGAAATAAAATCCGTGAAAAGATGAGGAGAGGAAAAATTCAGAATCTAGAAATGCGAGAAATTTTTTAAATGTAGACATTTTCGGTGAAGCTTGTCGGGGGGATTTTTTTTTTTACGTCGCGAAATTGGGATTCTACTATCGTGATATTTAATAATAAGGATTCGAGACCTGCAACAATTTTTCTCAGCGCACTCCAGATGAAATCTGTAGGCGGAGAGACAGTTATTCTAATCAATGCCGCGTGACGAAGGCGTGCTATCGTGTGTCGCAACGAGAAAACGATTAAGCGGCACGCGTGCAAAACGGGCGAGACCCACGTGCGATTCGCCAGTCTATTTCCTCGAAGAGCATCCGTTCATTGTTCGACGAGCTGCTTCTGTTTCTGCCCTGCGTGTGCGGAGGCTTTGTGCGTTCACGACGCAGGGTTCGCGAACAACGAGCGACTGCGAGATCAGGCGTATTCATGGAAGACAGTCTTGCGGATAAGCCGTCGAACCTGCCCCTGCAGGTGAGAGCAGAGTAACGCTCGCGCGTTGAATGCAGCTTGTAACCGCTCGCCGCAACACTAAGAAAGTGCTTACCATAAGTCGGATCACGCGTCACAGCTGTGCTAATTCCTTTTCCACAGGAAAAGCCATTTTGACAACGCGGTGCAGATCACAGAATCTCACAACATTGAAATTTGATTGAAGACGCGAAAGACTGTGCAGTGTTGCCTGCGAAATTGTATCTGTTTGTTTATCAATTTTATATGAAGTGATAAATATAGAACGTTGTTTATATCGTTATGATATTAATATATCGTCACGATAAATGTTTGAAAAACTCCCAGCAGTTTTTTGTGTGGCTATCACTTTGGTTTCACAGACGGGCAAAATTAAATTTGAGGGAATATTAAATTAATGATGATGGAACGAGGGGATATTAAATCAATGATGTTTTCATTTTAATGCGTTGAAAAAAAAAAATGCTACCGCGTTTCACGCGCGCGCGAGCAGCTCGTTGAATAATTTAGTTAAAACGGATTTTGTTACTGCGCCGCATGGTACTGATTTTGTGCGGTGATAAAGGTGTAACTCGTAAATTATGACGCAGCGCGGCACGAGAATTGCAAAAAACGACGCGACACAATGAGTGGTTTAACAAGTATTTCGATAGCGCAAGATACTTCGATTCGATTTGATTGTTTATTTTTTTTCCCCCCGGTGAAAAGTCGATCATCCGCGCGTTATATGTATTCGTTAAAATACATTGATTCACGTCGCTCGCTCGAGATCGTGTTCGCCCAAGTGAAATTCGTTTTTCGATTTATTCTGGCGTAATCAACGTTGGAAAATTCGCTCGTGTTTCATACACAACGGAGGCTGATTCGCGTTTGGTCTCCCAAGAAAAACGGTAAACATACCACGAAAGGCCGTTTAGATAAGCACTTTCTAATACAACGCATCGAAAGTTCTGCTCTTACACAAGCGATAAGCGAGCCAGCGATCTCCGCTAGTATATCCTGTTCATGGTGTGCGTGTGTGTGTGAGAGTTTACTGTAATTCTTGTCCTTTTTAAACGCGTACGCGCGCTGTATTCATAGCAACGCGAGGTAAGGCGCATTATTCATAGCTATGTATGGTGGATGAAAATTACAATATTTCACTTTGCAAATTCTCGATATTTCCTCGCGCTTAATCAACAGTCAGATGATTGCACTTTTTACTTGCAATAAAATTCTTTTCTAAAGTCGATGATTTCTAGGAAAGATTATAGAGACTTTAAATTATATATATATCGCTGAAATCTAAATATGCATACATTTTGAATCAACAACGTTTCAGCCAGATTGAAATTGAGATTTGAAATTTTATATTATCGAAATCATGTTATTGAGATTATTGGAAAATTTTGAAAGCTCCGAATTTATATTGCATATAAAATATTATATTTTAATCTCTATATTTATTTTTTTGTTTAACACAAAGATTTTGAATAGCACAATTTATTGACATTATATAAGTTCAGTTCGCGTTTTAATGACATAGATTTTATTTTGCAAAAAGGAAAAATAAAAAATAAGGACACAATTTGTCAAATACATTATCAAACGTTATGTATTATACTGGCTGGATAGACGAGTCGGCTGTAACGGTCGACCTGGCACAGTTTTACATCTCTTACCTCTATTTCAATTTTCCAAGTGCATCGTTACGTTGATTACCATGTTGTTTCTCGCCGTCGACAGACAACCCGTGATTTGTCTCTCCCGTCGCGGAGACACAGAGAATCGCGCGTGATATAACGAGAAAGAGAGAGAGAGAGCAATTTTCCTCAACTTTTCACCCCAAACAGAATAGAAAGCAAACACGAGGTAACAATCTTAGGAGGACTAAATGAATTCTCCGTTAAGTTCTACGGTCCACGGGGGAGTAAGTACCACTCTATTTTTACATATTATATTGTATTAAGCAAAACGCATCGTGCGATGATGGAATGAATCCTGCGTGGAATAAACCTGGAATGTTCATTTGAATACGATTGAAACGATGTAAAACGTTTCCACATCGCACAATGCAGTCCGATGATATTTATAATTCATATTTATTAAATTATTTATAAATATAATTAAAAATCATATTTATAAATAATTTAAATTATAAACAGCGTTATAATCTTCTGCAATTATTCATCGATTTAATTAGGCTGTGTAAAGTGATAATTGGCTTGTTCGGCGGCAATTCTTTCGTTAAAAATCCGGTCCATTTACTCGATTTCACTTTTCAGCTTTGCATATTTATTACAAATAAAATCCGATCTAATTCCACAACGGTGTTCAGCAATGTGCAATTACGGTTAATGATTTTTATCACTGTAATTTTGCCCGACATTGAAGCTAATGCAATGCTCAGCGGACGGCCTTCGGGTTGTGTCACGCTCAATTTCATAGTTTCTTGCGTATCACCTTGAACTACTATTATTATCATACCAGAATTAAAATATACGTTCGAAAAGACGTGTGTCGATGACTGTTTTTAGAAATCCGGGATGCTAGAATTTATGACACGCTCGGTAGTGTGGAGCTTATCGTAATTCGATTTGCGTGATTTTTATTTTTCGCAAGCGCTGCAATTTATCGGGAATAAAAAAATCTTGAAAACTTTGCGCCTGCCATTGTGAGATGGAACATGATTGAAATACGATGGCGGAACGCTCAATACGTTTTCACATCACGATATTCCAAGGTCCGTGCGCATCTCGCAAAACCGGAAACACTTATGCAACCGCTTCGTACTTGCGATTTTCTCGGTTTGCCGGACATGCGTGCGAAGCGTGTTATCGATTGGCAGGCGGCCCTCGCGAAAGAAAGTTTCTTGACTCCTTGGTCGACGGGAGAGATGCATTCAACTGTCCTTAAGACGGCTTTCAAGCAGATCGCGTCGAAGATACGCCTCGTTAATGACACGACTGTACGTTTTCCGAGTACGAATATCCGCTTATTGTGGATAACGCGGACAAGTTGGCGATTGTTTCGTAGATAGAAATTAAAAAAAGATCACCGCCGGAGTTTCAAACGTTAAATCTACAAAATTGAAATGTTTATTTATTTATTTATTTAAATCGTGATCGAAATGCGGCTAAATAAGAATAATTCGTTTCGAGCCGTGAGTGAGATCGAATTGTTGTTGCTCGAGAAAACAGATTGCGGTTTTGCGATGAAACAAATTTATCGCGATTACGTCAATTTGGCGGGTTGAATAAAATTCCACAATCGCGTAATGAATTTCGTTTTTCCGCGAGGATGGGAAAATAAATCGTGACGAGGATGAAAGTTTCTTGACCTTCCGCAACCCTCCCCGGATCGCGCCGGTAAACCAGCTGAAATCGCGCGGCTACCTTCGTTCGTAACGCGTTAAATTAGATCGCGTTTCAGATAGGTCCTTTGAAACGGCACAGCTGCATCCGCGAGTATAACTTCATTTGCTTAAGACCAGACCCGGGGACTTGGGCTTTTACTCTGACGAGATAGGCTACACTTGCGGCGGAGCATTCCACAGAGTAATCTCCATTTGGATTACCCGAGCAAATTGTAGAAACGTGATATTCAACGCAATTGGATCCGATTTGCATTATGCATCGTTAAGGTCTGCAAAAAATTGTCGGGAGATTTGAGAAACAGAAAAAAAATTATAGTACCATCGTGTTTAATGTGATAATTGAGACGTCAGTATTTTCTCAGCATCGCTATTAACTAATTATTAGACATCGCTGCTGCGTTATTAAAACTTTTTTAAAAATGTGAAATTTTTAATTTTTGAAAAAATTCAAATTAGATTTTTATGTAGGTAAATTTATACAAAAAAATCCCGCGCTTTAATATTGAAAAAAATTTTTACTCATCCCGCGAGTGCAAGATGCGAGAACAATTTTCGCATCAATCGTGGAACTTTAATCTGCTCTCACAGTTTGCACTTACTATTGCTCGCAGTTCGCAAATTACAAAGCTGGTGATTGATTAAAAGAGCTTACTTGGCAATTCGCCGGGCAATCGGCCGTCGCGCAGTTAATGCGACGCTGATAATGCCGACTATCCGATTATTTCGTCTTTCGCGATCGATCGCCGCTACTCGCAATTGCATAACCAACTATTTTTTTTCTCCCCCTCTACACATGTGTACGGTTTCGCTTGTTCTCAGCCACCCTTCACTTGCCGCCGTCGACGAGTATAGCATCATTGAACCACCCCCGGAACGATGTAAATCAGATCGTGTTTCGGATAACCCCGGCAAATGCAGCTGCGCTCGCGCACGCGAGTTCGTTTACACGCGTTCATTTTGCAGTCACGAGACAGGTAAAAGCACGTCTGTCCGTAGCACGCTGTCGAGCGTATGGAACTTTTTTAATTGCGAGAGAAATAAAAATAGAGTATCTCCGCAATAAAAAATCATCGGAAACTCTGTCGAGCAATAATTGAACCTCGTCGTAACATCGTGAAGTTGCAGAAACTCCGGGATTGCGAAATCAAAAAGTTTCCTTCGGATTGTTTTCAAATGAGCACGGCCAGTTTCGGATTTTTCCGTTGCTTTTAATTTGCTCGGTTAGATTCTGAAAGGACGGGCCGGAGTATTTAAAAAACAAAAAGTCGAAGCTCATTATGAGAAAAGCTAGAATAAGCTCGCGCTAATGAAAGAACTTTTTCTGATATTCTTGTAACGTTTTAAAACAGATCACGTTGTTAATTCTTTCCAACTACATTAGCGTGTCCGCGAAATTATCTTTACTTTAACAATACGCTTCGCATTAATTATGGTTCCTACATTTTTACTTTGCAGTTTTATGATACAGAATCTTGGAGCTCGTAAATAAGTTAAATGGCTGTAATAGGTTTTTTTTTTTTGATATCGAACGTGCTATGTGAAAATATGATCCGATATCAACGATCATTTAATTACTTTTTACCTATATCGAACATCCCATGAATTTTGTACGAGTGTATAAAGGATTAATCGCTTTACCTCGAAATTGTTGATCAGCATTGGTTATTCTCGTTCCAAGTTATGGAATCAATAACTCTGCACGCGTTTGGAGAACTTGGCAGTCTCATTATCTTCTTTGATACACACGTATTACATGGCGTACATGCGATATATAGATGGATAGATATTACTTTACACATTTAACATATAACGTTTTGCGAAATAATATTTTTTCTTTCGTAACTTGTTACGTAACTTTCCGCACAAGTCCGCGAGTGAGTCAGCGAGCACGTCTTTGCAATTTTATTAATTGTACTGGGGATAGTTACCAAGTTCCGATCGAGTCGCTTCGGCGAACTATCGCGTTCGAGGGTACGCGAGTTGAATTCCAGTTATATATCGGATGTTCGCGTTGTGCTGACGGGCGAGAATGGATAAACGCGAAGCGCGATTTTGGTATGCCGGAACGGAAGGGTTTCATGGCGCGGCAGTTTCTTGATTGTGTCCAAATGTGTGCGGCGCGAGCTGTAAGCGATTCATTGAAAGCCGCGTATTTAACATACACCGTGTTTTCTCACTGATCAATCGAAACTTGACAACGGCGGTTAGAGAATATTCTATTACAATTGATCGAGTGATTTATTATCGACGGGACGATGATTTAATTATACCATTCAACGATATTTAATTCCTATTTTAATAGAGCTCGTAAAACATTTAATTATACTAAGTAAAATTACAAAATTTAACACTTTTTTAAGACAAATTCTAAAAGTGACCCGATAGATAAGTTTTAATATCACTTTCCAAGTGGATGTTATAATTTTCACGAAAAATGTGTTAAGTTGTCGATAACAAATATTTATGATTAAAAGTTGCAGAAAATTATATCGACTGTGAGATCGACTCATCTTTGTGAGACAGAAACGCAATCTCGTATTCAATCAATATATTAAACATGCGCGAAATAAGGCAATAAAAATGCAAATTTCTTTCAACATATATTTATAATATGTATATAATCTATACTTTGAGAGAAACATGTAGCACCTCGCTAGATTACCAATTATGCAAACTGGACCGATATATCGGTATTGCAAGTTGTTTGAAGAAGATACAGCCTTTGATATCTGGTTATCTACATATATTGATTGAGTTACGCGACATGTACATTATATATATAACTGTATATGGTCAGGCAATATATGCTTTAAGTATGCCGTATAAGCTGTTAGTCCAAACGTATATTATTAACATGACATTATTTTATTAGCGAGCATGTTTGTCTTATATCACATCGACTTGTGAAAATTATATAACGCACGGTGCATAAACATTTGCCACTTGTTAGCAAAGTAGCTCTTTGGGGAAAAAATTGATGCCCGGACAATGGAAAAAAATTCCTTCGTATTCAAAATGTAGGGTGAGCGAGATTTCAATTATTGTATTGTTAAGTATCGATTATTTTCTTGCCGTTTCTCGTTGTGATTTTAATTGCGCTTTAGCATTGCATAATGCGCTCACCTTGACTTCGTGCTAATGTATCGGAGCCCTTGAACGGAGCTGCCGTTCCGTTTAAAATCTACTACATCAGAGGCGCGCGTGTTCGCAAAACTTTTTGCAATTTCTCCTCTTCGTCTCGCTTCCAATTGCATCATGAAAATTTTATTCATATCGGTCAATTGCCGTTAGATCATCGAGATTCGTATAATGCGAACGCTAAAATTATAACATCACTGATGTGTAGTGAGTTTCAGCAGCCGCAACTTCTTCAAGAAGTATAAATAGATTTGTTTCTAATGCCACAAATTTAACTTATCTTATCTTTCTTGGAACGTTTGTATAATTATGATGAAAAATGTTTACGTTTTTTGAATTGAAATTATTTAAATAATAACGCATTTGCAGTGCGTTTAATTTTTACATTGATGATTCCAGTGTCGATTTGTCGCGTA